ATAGTAGTTTCATGCTTGGAGTGCCTGTTATTCTGCTCTTCTGAATATGGGCTGCTTGTCATGACATGCCAGTTGCTGCTGTGCTGTCTCTTAGGTAGATGATTGTTCAGAAGTGGGTGGTGAATGAAGGCAAGAGACAGGAAAAGGAATATTGTGGGACTGTCCTGCTTCAAGGTTGTATATGGTTAGATTTTTGGACTTATGTGTAAACATAAGAATTATATGATTCTTTATGCCTATTTAAAAATATATTATAATTTTAAAATGTTTCTTCATCATATTCTGTAGGGACTTAAAAGTTCAACATATCAATACTTGATGAAAAATACCTGTTCCATATTATGCCTAAGATGTTTGATATTCAGACAGATAGTGAGGTTAAGCTTAACAGCTTAGGTTGTATGGTAACAACAATAAGCTTCTCTTCTGGAGGGTTAACAACCTAAGTTTGCAGACCAAAATTAGAGAAAAAGGAGGGCCACAAGGAAAGCCAACATTTGGCCCTAGCCTTCCAAGGTCAATTAAGACTCAGGACATATGAGAACTTGTACTGTAACGTCATGTAACTTGGTAGTGTCCCAATTTTCTGATCAAGGAGATTATGGGGCCAAAGAGGAAAGTGATCAATGATGTAGAATGTGCCTAAGGAGAGTCACATGGGGAGAAGACACTCTCTCAGGCTTTCACAGAGAGCACATTGGCCAAGCAATGGCCGTGACTCATCCATATGGCTGACACTGACAAAGGATCTACAATCTGAGGTACAGGATCTCAAGATAAATCCTGAGGGGATCTCACTGACCTTCTCAGACCCAAAAGCTACAACTCTTGTTGCATAGGTCCTGCTTTACCTTGGTCTTAACCATCCAGCAGAAAAGTATAAAAATGAAGTATAAGAAGTAAAGTCATACTGTTATGTTGAGCTTTAGGGGACTCAGGGCAACAATTTCTGACATTGCCAGTGAAGCACAAGACTCTATACTATTACGGACTACTGGATTCTTTTAGAATATTTTGCTGAGTTAACATACCTATAATATTCAAATAACAGAACTTAACAAAAAAAGGGGATACAAATGAATGTCCATTTTGTATCTGTGTATTCAAAATGGTTAGGATATATATATATTTACATTCTCTTAATGAATAGAGAGATTTGTTCTAATAGTGTTTGTAAATAGGATATCATGTCCACATCTTATACAGCAATTAACCACTAGGAAGAATGTATGCAATGTGTTAATTACTGAATCTGTCCTACAATTTGGTTTGAAACTGTCTCCTTGCTATTTCTCATAAAATTATGGGAAAAATAAAATAATATATATATTTTTTAAAAAAAGGGTCAGGCTGGTCCACACATGGTATCTTCCCATTCTGTCCCCAACACCAGCAGAGGGCCTGCACCCCCAGACCCTGTCCCATCCGAGGCTTAGAGCCCACAACTCCTCTGTGTTTGTATCAAGGATCTGCACCAAGGAGACCCAGAGGCCAGTGGTGGAAGCTAGAAAAGTCTGGGGTGAAGGATCTGTACGGGCAGGCTGAGGGCTATGCACTGGAGCCAGGAAGCAACGCTCAACATAAGGACCAAAGCTCCCCTGAAGAGAACTGCAGCCATCCTCAGTGACCGCAAGGAGCCGAGCTCCTCCTCCCACAAGAAACAGCAGACTCTTGGGTTGAGTTTGTGTCAGGAAAACCGTCCACAAAAAAAGCTTCTGGGAAATCAGCCACGTGCACCCTTCCCTCCTGCTCTCTGCGCTGTTGGCAGCGATCCTCAGATGGGCTTTTAGTGCCCAGAGCCACCCTGGGCTCAGCTAGATGGTCCTGCTCCAGCTGACACTAGTTCATCCACCACACTCGTGACGCGTGCTCTCTCAAGGCCACAAGCTCACATTTTCACTGTCAAGACTCCTTTACACTTAAACATAGAGGACTGCAAAATTCATCTTACCATACAGAAAGTCAAAACCAAGGGCTGCAAAAAAAAAAAAAAAAAAAAAAAAAAAAAAAAAAAAAGAAAAAAAAAACACAAAAAAAAAAAAAAAAAACACAAGGGCTGAGGCTGGGGCTGGGGCTGGGGCTGGGAGATAGAGCACTTGTTTAGCAGGCTCGGGCCTTGAGTTCAACCCCA